GCAGTATTTCCGGATCATTTTCAAAAGTTAAATTAAAAAAATTGACTTTTGTAAAAATGTTTCTATTTTGAATATCCCTGTGTGAGCAAGTTGTGTTTGATTTTTAAAAAAAATGATATCCAAAAAATGGGAAACACCTGAGGTTTCAATATAAAAAAAAAGTCGTTTTGATTCATTCATTTTCCAAGAAGTTATGACAATTTTTAGAAAAAAAAGTGAAAATGTCAACATTTTCCAATTTTAAAAATTGTAATTTTTTGCGGGATTTTCACCATTTACGGAGAACGAGAGAAATTTTTTTAATTTTTGAGGGTAATGTCTTCAACTAGATACGATTTGTGATCTTTTAACGTACACCCAGAGAAAAACCTCGATCTATATAATAAATTCATTGTTCAATTTGATAAATATATCATTACTATTGAATCTATGATATATTTATCAATATGATAATTTTTTTTCTTGTCTTAAACAATAATTATTTATAAGAATAGTTATTTTGTTCGTATTAATAAAACATTATCATAAACCCTTGATAAAATTTCTCTATCAATTTTGATTGAGGTTTTTCTTTGGGTGTATCGTTGAGAAAATTCGGGGTGGTGAAAGTTGAAAAAAATTATGACATATTCCTATCGATGCTAAAATATTTAATATTATTTTACAATAGTTTTATTAAACAAACAAATTTTTCAATAGTTATCAAGAAAATAAGTGTCTTATACTTAATTTATTCTCCCTATAGTTATTTTTTTTATAAGATAAGTTATATATTTTGTTACTTATAAAAAGTTTGTTTACATCATCAATTTTCAATTAAGATCTTAAAAACTATGAATTAATTGTAAAATACATTTTTTGTGTATTACCAATTCATTAGTGGTTTAATGTGGCACAGTAGACATTTCAATGACTGTCAATTTTTGGTGTTATGTTTTGCGTGCCATTATTGTTAGTCGGGGGGCAGGATACAAGTCAACTTTAAAGGTGCCAAGTTATATCTCCTGGCATAGAAGTCTAGTGAGAAATAATTGTATTTAAAAATTCCCTGTCTACACTAGCTAATAGTAAAAATTTGGTTGGTGTATAAAAATATCAATACATTAAATATGTTTACTTAAAAATAATTTCTATTCATTTTTTAAAATTATTTTTAATGTAATAAAATTAATTTATACTACATACCACTAGAACCGAATTCATTTAATAATTCATCAATTTCATTATAATTCGTCCAATTACAGTCATAATTTTTAAAAATATGGTAAATGTCAGTTTTGGTTAAAAAGCCATCATGGTCTTTATCAAATAAATTAAAAGTTTTTTGGTAATTTTCAATCACGTCATCTGATGTTGTAGAACTCTAAAGTAGCAAAAAAAAAGTATTATTAACATAAAAAAAAACTGTAGAATAGTGGAGTAGCGGTACAATATAGACGAAGTATAATTGGGACAAGTAAAGATGATATCTGACAGTGATTAAAATCACTGTCATAAGAAACGCTCGATGCAAATCTATAGAGAGTATTTAATTTTAAGAAATTGGTAGATTATTTCAAAAGAAATAATAACTCTTATTCCCTTATTTTATTCCGATTTAGTTATTTGATTTATAATTATAATATATGAATGAATAATAATTATAATAATGAAATTTAGTATGATATTGATATTTAATAATTTAATATTGTAATTTTTACGAAGATATTATACAAATAATAAAGTAGTTGTATATTTCTTTACTTTTAACGCGTATAAAATTTAAAGGGCTTGATACAATACTTTTCAATAAAAAATTTTTGTTACTAATAATAATGTTTTAAGTTTTATTCACTGACTACATGGAACTTTCATCAGAAACAAAATTTTTTTTTCTAAATCAACTTTTCGCGCCGTTTTTATATGTGAAATTTGATTTTGTCTATGACTTATAAGTTTTAATATTATTACTTGTTATTAAAAAATAAGTAATTAATTATAAAATAATACTTAAGACCAAAAAAAATTGTTTTAAATTTATTCTGATTTTGATTTTTAATATGTTAAAAATAAGGAAAATGACATATTTAAACAAATATTTTAATACTTTAAAGTTGATTTTTTTGAAAGTTTGTAATAAAAAAAAAATTAATTTACTTCCATAACTTTTAGCTCGATTAGCAAGTTTGAAATTAACATAATGATTTACTTTAACTAAAAAAACCAATCACGAAAAGGTGTTAAAAAGATCTACTATATAAATTTGATCAGTTAACAAACAGAAAATTAAACAACATATTCTCCTTATAGATAATTAAAATCATTCAATTCTAATGTTTTCAAAGTATTTACTGATGAATCAAGTTTGATATGATAGGTTTCAACTACAAAATTATAATCAAATTTTATAAGACGCTCTATTGAATAGATCTTTTTAACACCTTTTTTGTGATGGGTTTTTATAAGTTATAGTAAATCATTATAATTAATTATATTCTGAATATTTTAATTGTAGAATATTTTTAAATACCAAAAATTACTTAAAAATGATTACTAAGTAAGTGATCTATTACAATAAAAATCCAAAAAAATAATGAACTTTTCTGAAAAATTTACTATAAATAGTAATTATAAAACTTCCTAACTGCATATTAATCTTAACGATACAATTTTTTTAATTCTTATAATATTTTCTATTTATTGATGTCAATTTCAAATTTGCAGATTGAACTAAAAGTTATGGTAATAAATTAATATTTTTTATTATAAACATTCACAAAAATCAACTTGAAAGGATTTAAAAAAAAAGGTTAAATGTGTCATTTTCCTTATTTTCAACATATAAAAATCAAAATCAGTAATTTAGAACAATTTTTATTATTAAATATCAATTTCATACTAAATTTAATTACTATAATTATTATTTATTCATATATTATAATTATAAATCAAATAACTAATCGAGATAAAATTAAGGGAATAAGAGTTATTGTTTCTTTTGAAAATAGTTATCAAATGCTATTTTTGTGTGAAAATTCTCGATTTTATATTTTACATTTTTAATTTTATAATGCTATAACTTAATGAAAATTGTATGGATTAATACAATTTATTTTAAAGAGAAACCATATTTATATCCCTATTCAATCGACATACTTAATTTTAATAAGGATATAAATAAAGAAAAAGCAGATCATGTAGCTTTTAGAGTAATCCACCAATTTCTTAAAATTAAACATTATTTACAGATTTGCATCATAACGTTTCTTATGATAGTGATTTTAATTATTGTCAGATATCATCTATACTTGTCCCAACTATGCCACGTCCATACTGTGGCACGACCCCACTGTGCTACTGTTTTTTTTATATACTTCTTAAGAAAAAATTAAGATAAAATAAAAAATGTTTATTTGAAATATCTTTTGAATATCTACAATAACATGCATAAAAACAATTTATATTGTACTAGTGATATTTCAAATGGGCATCGTTTTTAATTTAAGAAGGCATATTTTATTTTTATCTCATAATATAGTTTTTCATTCTAGAATTCATCTAAAATATTACTCAAAGAGATGATAATCGTATCTTTTTAATATAAGTACAAACATCTTTATTTATTAGTTCTTTAATTCATTACCTCTGAAGAAGATGTAAAATTTTCAGTTTGGTCCTGAAAAATATATTAGAAATTATTGTTTTTTTTGTACTTCAATTTTATTTTATTAGCAGAAGTGTGTTAAAAATTTTCCATTTATTTATTTAAAAAAATGATTCTTTAATGTTACTTAATTAAAATTAGTTAAGTTGTTGTATAATATTACTAAAACACTGCATTATTTTCGAAATCCAAATAAAAAAATTAATTTTAAATAAGTCATATATTTTAAATGTTACTGTGTTTACCCTTGATGAATCATCTTCGCTATAATCATTTGATTCTTTATCTGTTTGTATCTAAAGAAGTATTTAAACAAGTATGAATTATTTAATATAAGTAAAATTTCTTTTAAAAGTATTTCTAGAATTAGAATTACCAAAAATCCTTCTATTTCTTGATAACTTCTAGCACTAAATTTTATTGTTTTGTCAATCCATATCTTTTAAGTTAAATCCCATTAGAAGGAAAATACCAATGAATGGAGGAATAGTATTATGATACCGATATATAAAGACAAAGGAGTTATACAATAGTATAAAAAATATAGAGGCATAAAACTTATGAGTCATAGTATGAAGATTTGAGAAAAGGTAACAAACAAAATAATAAGAGGAGAAACATAAGTAACAAATAACTAGTTTGGTTTTTGACTGGAAAGTCAACGATGGATCTAGTTTTTTGTACGAGTTAACAAATAGAAAAGTATAGGGAAAAGAAGAAATAGCTGTGTATGGTATTTATAGATTAGGAGAAAGCGTAGCATAGGGTATTGAGAGAGGTTATAAAGTGGGTATTAATGAGAAAACGAGTCTCAAATATAATAGAAAATACGTATGATGACACTTGTACTAGGCTAAAAATTGTAAGTAGAGTAACAGCAGATTTTAGGGTTAGAGTAAGAGTACACCATGGTTCTGGTTTAAGCGCAGTGAAACGATCTATAATATGGTATTATCCATATTGTTGGATGGACAAAAATATAGAGCAGAGAATTAGTGTAATAGAGATGACAATGTTTATTGTTTTAGTGTCATTTTGTCCACACTTTACGCATCTAGGAACAATAGGTTTTAGTAAGTTTAGTAATTTAAGCATTAAGGTATTTTTTGTTTTTTATGTGGCTATTAAATTTTAATTTTGGTATATAGTAAGAAGAATATGGTGAAAATTTCTTGATTATTATACCATAGTTTAAAGTCGATGATATGTAAGAGCAGAGGGTTTTTGGACTGGTGATAATGATTAATATTTGTCATTTTTCTGTATATATAATCAATTTCTTCAAAATAAAGTCCAAAATTTTCTTTTTTCCATAATAAAGTATATTACATTATCTTTAATTTAAGATATATATATATATACGAGGTGTGACAATTAAGTAATGAGACTGATTTTATTGCCGCGCTCGTGATAACACTACGGCCTTGAAATTTATACGGTATGTAGCGGATTCCCTCCTCTCTCCGACGATAAGTTCACCGTCTCTCTCGTTGCAGTAGTTCGTCCGCTGTATCGCGTTATGTGAACACGTGTTCGTAGTGCTCGTCACGAAAATGGAAAAGGCAAATTTAGAGCAACGCATCGCGATAAAATTTTGTGCGAAATTGGGTGAAACCGCTACGGAAACTTATTCCAAAATATTGAAGGTGTATGGTAGTGCTTCACTTAGTCGTCCCCAGGTGTTTCGATGGCACAAGCAGTTCAAAGAGGGCCGCGAGAACGTGGAAGACGAAGAGCGAGTAGGGAGACCAGTTGAAGTGCGAACCGACGCGAATGCGCAGCGCGTGCGCTCCCTAATCCGCGAAGATCGTCGTTTGACGGTTCGAATGGTGTCGTCTGAACTCGGTATCAACCGTGAAACCGTTCGACAGATTCTAATAAACGATTTCGGGATGAGAAAGGTGTGTGCGAAGATGGTCCCAAAGAATCTTTCTGCTGAGCAAAAACAGCATCGAATGGCTCTCGCACAAGACTGTCTGGAGCAAGTTGAAAACGATCCCACGCTGCTTGATCGAGTTATCACAGGTGATGAAAGCTGGTTTTTTCAATATGATCCAGAAACCAAACGTCAAAGCTCGCAGTGGCTGTCTCCAAACACCCCTCGTCCGAAAAAAGCTCGCATGAGCAAGTCGAGGGTGAAAACCATGATCATTACCTTTTTCGACAGCCGCGGAATCGTCCATAAAGAATTCGTACCTCTTGGGCAGACAGTTAATCAACATTTCTACCGAGAGGTACTCGAAAGATTGCGAAAACGAGTTCTCAGGGTGCGTCCAGACATCGCAAACACTTGGATTCTGCATCACGACAACGCGCCGTGTCACACAGCCCTCAGTGTTTTGCAGTATTTGACTTCCAAAGGCATCACCGTGTTGCCGCAGCCGCCTTATTCGCCCGATATGTCCCCATGTGACTTTTTCTTATTCCCCAGAATGAAATTGGAGGTCAAAGGAACCCATTTTGAGTCGATTGAGGCGATCCAAGCGGCCGTGACGAGGGTACTCATGGACATTCCAGTTGAAGCGTTCCAGAAATGTTACGACGCGTGGAAAATGCGATGGGCTCGGTGTATAGCTGCCCAAGGGGACTACTTTGAAGGGGATAGAACAGTTGTTGAATAATTTTTAAATATACGGCTTTTATAACGTCAGTCTCATTACTTAATTGTCACACCTCGTATATATATAAGTGTCAGAGTTTCCGGAACACTTTCAAAAGGTAAGTTGAAAAAATTAATTTTTTGTGAAAAAGTTGTCATTTTAAATCCCCTCCTATGGGTAGGTAAAGGGTGAGATATATAAAAAAAATATATCAAATAAAAGGTAATAATATCATGCATCTATATAAAAAAAAAATATATTGATTTGGTTATTTTTAAAAAAGTTATGGCAAATTTAAGTAAAAAAAATTGAAAAAATTTCGAAAATTTTTAAAAAGATTTTAAAATTTGTAATTTTGTTGAAGATCTCGCCCATTTACGGAGAATGAATGAAATTTTTTCAATTTTTGAGGGTAATGTCTTCGACTAGATAAGATTTGTAAAATTGGTTCGGTGCGAGCTGAGAAAAAGCGATAACAGACACAAAAAATAAACACATCATGGTAAAATTAAAACATTCTCAGCTTCGCATTGAATCTAAAATATTGAACTTTATTTAACAATAGTTTTATTAATCAAACAAATTTTTCCTTTAAAAAGATTTCTTAGCGTTTGAAAACCGCAAATACTGTACTGGTCTATTCCTCAATGTCGCCCAAGCATTTGATATGGTGTGGCATGATGGACTGCTTTACAAATTAAGAAAAGTTTTCCTAGCGCCTCTATATTTAATAATGAAGTCTTACCTTTATGAAAGAAATTTTACGGAAAGACAAGGCAGTGCAAATTCTCCTTAGTACAAAATTCAAGCAGGTGTTCCTCAAGGAAGTTACCTGTCTCCTGACCTCTACAATATTTTTACCGCAGACATACCCCAGTCAGTTAATACTCTTCGTGCTACATTTTCTGACGATACAACTATTCTATCTACTCATAGTAATATTACTGAAGTTATCCGTCATCTACAAACACACGTCAACATCGTTGAAATTTTGGTTCAAGAACTAAAAAATTAAAATAAATGCAAATAAGTCAAGTCATGTAACATTCCCTCTCAGATATAAAAAATTCCCAGTTATAAAATTAAACAATACCCTGAATTAAACTAAGTACCTAGGCATAATTTTGGACAAACGACTAACGTGTGAACCTCATCTGACAGACAATAGGAAAAAAAGCCAACTGCAGACTTCATCTCTTTCGTCCATTACTAAACAAAATAACTTATTTATAAGTCAATAATCAGACCAGTCTGGTCTTATGGTATACAAAAATAGGGACCAGCTAAACCATCCAACATTCGACCAATACAATCCTTTCAATATATAACATTACGAGTGTAAACTGTTACGCAGCGGTATGTAACAAATAATAACCTACACAAAGATTTAAACATCAAAACTGTCAAAGAACTTGCTATTTACAGTATAATATATTTCACTTAAAACATAACACATATTCAAACCATTTAATTAAAAAAATGTTCACAACTTCAATACTTGACAACCCACCACGAAAACTCTAACGTAAATGGAACCGAGTTCTACTGATTTAACAAATGAAGTCAACAATAAAACCATAACTTGTATACAGCTTCAACTAAATCTAATCGAGGTGTTACCAATGCGTGACTTCTTTTTAACGCTGTTAATGTTATGTAATTGAATAAGTCAACAAAAAACTTATTGTAAATTTTAAGTACAGATTGTTTTTTTAATAAATAAATAAAAAAAAAATTAAAATTAAAATTTTCAATAGCTACCAAGAAAATAAGTATCTTATACTTAACTCATCCTCCCTATAGTTATTTTTTTTAATGATTTGTAATCTTTTAACGTATTGTTGAAAGAAATTGGTTCGGTGACAGCTGAGAAAAAGTAGTAAAAGACTCAAAAATAAAAAAATTAAAAATAGAAAAACGTCATAGTAAAATTAATACCTTTGCAACGAAGATAAAAATGATATACTATTAAACAATAGTTATGAAATTCGTATTGAAGTGTAGTATTATTATTAACTACATTCAATAAAGGGTAATTGTATATATATTTTTACAGGTACAATGTATAGATATTCTTTAGCTTCGATGCGAAGCTGAAAAGGTATTAAATTTACTATGATGTGTTTTTTTTTAATTTTTTTTTTTTGTGTTTGTTACCACTTTATCTGCTCTCACCGAACTTATTTCTTTCAAAGATACGTCAAATAATCATANGTTACCACTTTATCTGCTCTCACCGAACTTATTTCTTTCAAAGATACGTCAAATAATCATATATTGTATCTAGTCGAAGACAATACCCCAAAAATTGAAATAAATTTCTCTCGTTCCCCGTAAATGGCGGAAATCTCCAAAAAAATTACAAATTTAAAAATCGCTAATTTTTAAAAAAATTTTCAATTTTTTTATTTAAATCAGCCATAACTTTTTCAAAACTGAACAAATCAATAATTTTTTTTTTATAGTTGCATGATGTCTTTACCTATCATTTGATTTATACTGGCACTTTTATATATACCTTAAATAAAAGCCTA